CTATGTTTATGTTTAGCCTCTGTGTTTATGTTTAGCGTCTATGTTTATGTTTGTGTTTAGCCTCTATGTTTATGTTTAGCCTCTATGTTTATATTTAGCGTCTATGTTTATGTTTATTTTTAGCCTCTATGTTTATGTTTATGTTTAGCCTCTATGTTTATGTTTAGCGTCTATATTTATATTTGTGTTTATATTTATGTTTATGTTTATATTTATGTTTATGTTTATGTTTAGCGTTTATGTTTATGTTTATATTTAGCCTCTATGTTTATGTTTAGTGTCTATGTTTATGTTTATATTTAGCGTCTATGTTTATGTTTATCGTCTATGTTTATGTTTATGTTTAGCGTCTATGTTTATGTTTATGTTTAGCGTCTATGTTTATGTTTAGCGTCTATGTTTATGTTTATGTTTAGCCTCTGTGTTTATGTTTAGCGTCTATATTTATGTTTATGTTTATATTTATGTTTATGTTTATGTTTAGCGTATATGTTTATTTTTAGGGTCTATGTTTATGTTTATGTTTCTCTGACAAAAAGTATCATCAAAGCAACTTTTGTAGCAGTTGAATGTATTATAATTATAATTTCAAACGCTGACGATTATTCTCGCGCGATATACACACTTTTAGCTCGTTCAATGGTAACATCTTGGCGGCGAACATCCTCAAAAGAGTTAATAATGGAATAATTCTGATTAATATTTGAATTTTTATTATTATTTATAATCATAATTTGTAGTGAAGTTCTGAAACTTTTAAAAATTCTTAAATTTTTTTGAATGTTAATGCCAATTTATGTTTAATTTTCTATATTTAGAATAATTTGCTTAATGACTTGGCACTAGCTGAAACATTAACTACTAAGTGACATGCGTTTTTTTGACTGTAGAATAACAAATAACTTGTTTCAAAAACCAACCTGACTATTGGAAAGATATACTACATTTGTACATTTCATATATATTATACTAATATGCTTATATACATCTATATATATGGTTAGATATGCCTAGATATGTCTGTATGTACCACAGTATATCTAGTATGCCTAATAATAAATAATATACATGCTTAAATCTTAAAAATAATTGTAGAAAAGAATATATGATATCTTCAGTTTCTCTCCTTCTCGTTTGGAGAAGTTAATCAGTTTGACAAATGACAAGTCTCTAATTTACATAACGCACGTACAAACAATATATTAAGTATGTATTTACGACAGGTGTGATAAACGAATGGCATACAACTACTATATAAACCATCGGTCAGTTCGTGTATCTATCTCTAGTTCAGTTTTTGCTGATCAACATGGAGTACACGTGGAAGGCACTTTTATTATTTACCTTTCTCTTCAACAAAGGTATGTAAAGTCCAATTATTTCCCGTAAAGTGTAAAGTTAATTTCCAGAGGAATTTCATGGAAATATTTTCATGGGCCATAGGTATCGCAAATGACTGTGTACCGTATAACGTAGAAAATGTCTTAGTTGCATGCGTTTGTAATGCAACGTATTGCGATGGAATACCAGAGAATAGACCGGAAGTTCCGAAATTAGGTAGATCTCACTGGTATCAATCGAATAAAGACGGTCTGAGATTGAAATGGTCAGAAGTGAACTTCAATAATAATCGTCGAGTTTCCTCTGCCGATGTAATGCTGTCCATTAATGACGACAACAAATACCAAAGGATTTTTGGATTTGGTGGCGCATTTTCTGATGTTGCCGGCTACCACATATCAAGACTGAGTTCAGCCACTCAGGAACAACTGATGCGGTAATCATTAATATCTCCCGAGAAAATGTGATCAACATATTAAATATCCACGACACTACGATACGATGATCTTATATGGACATTATTTTGTTTTAATAAAAGTAGCATCAAATATCTCTAAATCTAAATTTAACAATTGGCTAACGCGATGCTACTACAAATTACGAATCTATTAGTTAAGAAAAAAATGTCACATAAATATATATTATTGGAAATATTGTTGAAGAGTTAAGACAAAAAAAAGGAATGTATAGTTTTCTCGTTATAATAACTCTTTGACCAATGCTTTCGCTAATATTTTTTCTTATTTTGACCTATGGAATATAACGGCAACGTTTGACCAGAAAGTAACTGGAACATGTTTTGTAATAATAACTTTGAATTGTTTATAGAACATATTACCATCCGAGAACCGGAAGTAGATACACACTGGGTCGCATACCTATTGGTTCATCTGATTTTTCTCTAAAACATTATACGTACGATGACATGCCCAATGATATCCAGCTTGAACATTTTGCACTCACGTCAGAAGATCATCATTACAAAATACCATATGCAAGGAAAGCTCATATGTTAAATCACGAAACTAGATTCTTGAGTGCTGCGTGGACTGCTCCAGAATGGATGAAATCCGATAATGACGGGCTATGTACGTATATAATGGTGATATTTAAATGGAAAATAGAAAATAAAAAATAAAAGGAATAGCATAAAGAATGATTCATATTAACGACTTTGTAAAATTACTCTAATAATTGTCAAACAGCTTTCTTGAGACAAGAATACTACCAAACTTATGCCAACTATATGATGAAGTTCCTGGATAGTTATGCAAGACACGGTATTAGAATGTGGGCACTTTCAACTGGTAACGAACCGTCAAGTGCCTATGTGTTTAAGAACAGCAATGTTACTATGGGATGGACATCTGAAACATTGGCTGACTGGATTGCTAATAACTTGGGCCCAACGCTAGCATCATCGAACCACCGTCATACGCGAATTATGGCTTTTGACGACGATAGATCGACATTGTCCAGGTTTATCAATCCAATATTTATGAATGAAAACTCAGAACGTTACACTGCTGGAATAGGTGTACATTGGTATAAAGATGACACAACTCGTGCAAACGTATTAGATCAAGCACACAATCTCTATCCAGAGAAATTTATTATCATGACCGAAGCATCCAACGGTGAGTTTTTAATGATATTTAATAATTTCCTATATGCATACACACAAGGAAAACAACGTACTATACTAATATTTTTGTTTGGTACTCCTTGCACAGGACCTGCAATATGGAATACTCCGAACGTTACATCGGAATCATGGTCACGAGGTGAAAAATACTTTTTAAGCATAATGCAGGTAAAAGAGGTTACATCGTTTTATGGTTATTTTGTTGAACAATATCAATTCTAATCAGAAACTAATTGTTAACGAAACATATTTTGTATCAAGTACATGAATCATTGGTCAATTGGATGGGTAGACTGGAATTTAGTTCTGGACCAAACTGGTGGACCAAATTTAGTGAATCTTCATCTTGACGCCGCTATTATCGTGAACCCAGAAAAGGATGAATTTTACAAACAACCTATGTATTATGCCATCAAGCACTTCAGCAGATTCGTTCCCAGAGGTTCTCAGAGAATTTCCATTACCGATACTGATACCATCAAATCTACAGCCTTCCTTACACCTTCGAAGGAAATCGTTGTAGTCGTATATAACAGGTAAAAGAAAATTGTTTTGTCATTATTGGTATTATTTGGCGTAATCATTTATATTCATTTCATCTGTAAACAAGTCTGAATTCCCTATTTTCTATTATCTTAATCTTCAATTTCAGTGCTAATACTACACAACGTGTAGTTTTGAAAGATTTCCGAAGAGGTAACCTTCATGTGGAATTATCTCCACAATCTATGAATACTTTCAAATACATGTAACGTGACTTTCCTATACGA